GAAAAAATATGGGCTAAGCCCAAAATACAAATAATAAATATTAACAAACTAACTGAAAGATAAACTGAAAGATAAAAGATTTAATATTTCTAACAGATTTATTTCCAGATATAAAAATTAAAAAATGAATTGAGTAATAAATTTTAATAATTTATAGTAGTTGAAAATTGTTTCAATTTCAATAAACATTTTTGGTAAATGATTTTTAGTCGTTGGAATTGCTTTTATTTTAATAAAGACTTCGGTAAATTATTTTTAAAAGTTAAAAACTGTCAAAAACATTAATGATTACTAAGATATATGAAACAATATTAAATTTAACGTCAAATAATTACTTCAATCCTGTATAATTAACTATCATTTTTTATTTTTACACACAATAGTTTACATAAACCGATAATAGTCTATTTAAAAAAAAACTAAGTACGGATCAAACGAAAATAAATTATACGAAACCAATAAATTTTTTATCAGGTAGTAAAAGGGGAAATTTTAAAAAATCTTTTATTTTATCTAAATAAAATAAAAAAATAGAAATTAAAAATAATATGCAGATGCTTGTAGTGAAAAGTGAATGTAATAGAAAAGAGAGAGTGGAGTCAACAGCCGTCAACAAGGACCCACATCCCAGACAGCCATCCTAATCCATAATGGGACCGAACGGTTAACTGCTAATCTTTAACGGAATACAGTACACGTGTCATTTCCGTGCCACTTCTGTTCTACTTTATGCCTTTCATTTCTGCAGAAAAAGGAAATTAAATAATAATAATAATAATGAAACCTGCTTACGACTCCCCGCTCCAAAAGTCGTAACTCCAAACCCACTTTCCTTTTCAAATTTTATTCCTTTCTTCCACGCTAACCATGTGGAACCCTTCTACTCAAACCATCCTTTTCCCCGCTCTCTTCTTTTTTTCATTTTTTTAATGCTGCTTCAAACATCCTTCCATTATTCCAATTTTAAATCAAAATAAAAATCCACCGAAAAAATCTCCACCAATTCATCCCTATTCCAGATGTACACGCACTTGAAAGAACTTATTTTGATTTTTTCCAATATTTTAATTACATCTATTCACTTTTTAAACACATTTTCATTTTATTTATTCTCTTTTTTCTATGCTTTATCTCTCATCCTACCTAATCCCAGTACAAAAACAAAATACCACTGGTTGCTTTTCGCTGTTGGAGTCTTGAAGAACTCTCTTCTTTTCAGAACTGTGTTCCTTTTCTTATCTAACTATATCCTTCTAATTTTAAGGCCAAATAAACTAGTACCACACTTATAACGCCAATAAATTACATAAATAGTCGAGGGGCCCAAAAGCTATAGCATCAGCCCTCACCTTCACAGCAACAAAATATAAATAATGACGAGAAAAAAAAAAGAAAAAAAGAAAAAGAACCAATGGCGTTGAGAGGGAGTGCATTATTTTGTACCGCCCAAAAACCAAACCAAACTCAAACTCGTATCATTTGTGCCACAAACTTTACAAAGCTTCTCGAAGATATTTACAGAGTTTAATTAACTCTCCGTCTCTCCTGGAAGGACGCACGATGTGTTTTAACCAATTCACAATTTTGCTTGTGGTGTTTGTTTCCACGGCGAATAAATGATTGCCAGAGTTTACACCGCCACTTCTGACGCAAGACCACCGCCGTTGCAGGATCTTGGTTGCCGCAGAAGCTCAATTAATTTCTCCGCCTACATACCAAGCCATAAACAAAAATAAATAAATAAATAAATCCAACAACAATAACAAAAAAAAATTAATGTCAGCACTGAAACGAGCTTCGTAATTAAAATATTCCAAAACCCAACCAATGAAATTGGCATAAACGATGCAATGGGATAACTGAGTCGATGCTCACTAACACAAATTTATTTGCACAGTGGAGATCCACTGTGCAATGAGGCTGATGTGGCACTACATGTTACAAGTTATTCTAATTCTAAAGGAGAACTTATATTTATATAATTTGTTACAAAAATAAGATGGCAAACAAATAATAATAGTAAAAACAATTTTTTTTTTACCGTATTGCAGTTTGGTCCTTCAACAGTTATCATTTAATTTTAATGTAGAGCCACGTCAGCGAGGAAGTTTGCAGAGAGTAGTGGAAATGTTGAAGCCAAGGGAATGGAATTATACCTTTTGCTTGGCGCGATTGGTGCCGGACTGAGACAGAGCCACCAAAGGAGGAATCG